TCTGCTGGTAATTCTTTGGATTTTCAGGGGTTGAAGAACTTCAGTAAGGCTGCAAGGGATCTTCTTCAGCGTATCCAGAAGATCGATAGCGATAACTACCCTGAGGTTACTATGATGTTTCTAATGGTTTCGACCTGTTTTTGTATTGCTATTAACTCAAAACTATACTGAGATTTTTTTTTGTGTGTTTATGGATCATATAGACATTGAACCGTATGTTCATTATCAATGCTGGTTCTGGGTTCAGGCTTCTCTGGAGCACTGTGAAATCTTTCCTTGACCCAAAAACCACCGCGAAGATTCACGTAAGCTTTTCTTTTTACACTCCAAAGATCAAAACTTTAAGGTCTACTACGATTAACCTGTAAAACTCATGTTCTTCCTTATGAGCAGGTTCTTGGCAACAAATACCAAAGCAAACTGCTTGAGATTATCGACTCCACGTAAGGGGAAAAAAAGCGCTCCATAACTCTGCATTTCACCACAAAAAAAAATCATAATCAAATTCTGTTTTTATTGTTGTTGTTGTAATTAGTGAACTTCCTGAGTTCTTGGGTGGTAACTGCACTTGTGCAGACAAAGGTGGATGTATGCGTTCAGACAAAGGTCCATGGAACGATCCTGACATCTTCAAGGTACTTTTAAGATAATAGAGAGTCTTCGAAAACAGGTTAATGAAAACGATAAACTAAAAAGAAGAATTTTTTAAAACTATATACAGATGGTTCAAAACGGAGAAGGAAAGTGTCCAAGGAAGACATTGTCAAACATTGAAGAAAAGACAATCTCAATGTACGAGAACACAACAAAGGTAAAAGCTAAACCCAATAAATTCTTAATCTTCACATTCATAGTAAAATCTAAACTTCCTCTCTTCTTTTTTTAATTTGTTTGATTGCTTGAAACAACAACTCGAAGAAATGTGATTCCTTTGCAGTGAGTTTCTTTCTTTGTCTCTTATAAATTTACTTCTTTGCCTCTCTCAATATCTCCTGTTTGGTTGATTTAAGTTCCAATTTGCAGAGAAACAAATTCGACGCAGAGAACGAGAAATTCACACCGATGATTGACAAGAGTGTGGATGCTTCTACTTGGCCTACAAATCTCCACAAGACAAACCTTCCCGAGCCTGAAGGTTTTACATTATTCGTGTTTTTACGTTTTGAAAACATGATTCTGTTGTTTTTGTCCCATTCATAACGTTTTCACGTTTTTGAAAAGTGATTCCGCTATATTATCATTCCGCCACTACACTAGTCGTTAGCTGTATTTGTTTTTGCTGGATGCAGACTTATTATACTCGGCCGTGAAGCCGTCGGAGAGGAGAGGAGGGGAAGGTTATTTATTCGGCGGTGTGATGTCTCTGGTTATGGGGTTAATGACTGTTGTGAGGCTAACAAGGAACATGCCTAGGAAGCTCACCGAGGCTGCGATTTACGGCACAGAAGCAGAGAAAGGAGAGACGACAATGGTGTCGAGCCAAGACTATATGTCGATGGTGAAGAGAATGTCGGAACTGGAGGAGAAATGTAGGTCTTTGGACAATCAGCCGGCGGCCTTTTCGCCGGAGAAAGAACAGATTCTCACCGCCGCTCTTAGCCGCGTTGACGAGCTTGAGATTCAGTTGTCTGAGACCAAGAAGGTAACTTATTAGTCTCTTTAAGTATAAACTATTTGAAAGAAATTGTAGTTTATCTCAAAATTATTTTGTTAATACTAGAAGAAAATTAGAAGATTATCTTGCAATTAACCTTCCAAATGTAGTTATTGAGTGCATACTATAAACCATTGTTAATTAATTAATTTTGTTGAAAATATCAGACGTTGGACGAAGCCATGGCTAGGCAGCACGAGATAATGGCTTATATCGAC